GGGGAAGACTGGGGATCGGGGAAAATGTCGCTCCTGTCAAAGTGCCACCTGGAGCCACGGTCCCACTGGGACCTATGGATGGGCCGGCCCTGACAGATACACAGAAAAACAGGTCCAGATACACAGACATACATATACACACATATAGATGTACAGAACCACAGATACAAAAACACTGCCAAACATGCAGATACACAGTTACAGAAATACAGATGCACACACTGACACACAAACATCCAGATACACACACAGGTACACACCCAGATATACACACACAGATACCGACATATAGATACACAGACTGACACGCAGGCATACAGATACACACACTGACCCATACACAGATACAAAAACATACAAATATGCACACTGACACATAGACATACAGATGCGCACACTGACAAACACACAGATATACCGACATACAGATAACGACATTGACACAAACACAGAGACACACACTGACACACACAGACATACACACACACATTGACACTGTGTGCCATACAAACAGAGGTTAGGGAAACAGTAACCAGAATTAAGTAATAAAAAGATAGAAGGTACGTATACCGGACCTTAGAGTGGCCGGGTTAACGTATGCCGTAGATAGATAAAAATACAGAGTCAAAATAGAAAGCCAAGATCAAGGACACCAGAGATACTAAAATACGAAATAACAAGCCAAAGTCAGGAAACCAGAAAAGTCAAATACAAAGCCGGGTCAGTAATGAGAAAAACAAATAACAACTACACAGTATGCACTCACAGGCAGAATAAACCACTACAGAGAAATGATCTCAAGAAAGAAGGAATTTTAAATAGGGAGAACAAAAATCTTATTGGACAGCATCATCACCCTGCACCAAATTACAAGTGTTGAGAGCAGATGATCTGTCCCAATAATATGACTTGTCACTTTAATGCTATAAAAAGCCTACAACTACAGGGTCCTATAATTTCCAAGGACTCCTGTAGGTGGCGCAAGGCTGCCAAAATGATCAGGAAACCTTGACAGATCATGCAGGGGTTGCTCTGCATGAGGAGCAACCAATTGCCGCACAGTGTTCGCGGCACCATGGACCGCGGCACTGTGCAGCACCCCCTGGAAGCTCCATGTGCCACGTGGCATTCCATGGTATGACAGACACACACAGATACAAAGACCTACAGATACACACATTGACACACATAGATATACAGATACACAAACAGATAGACAGACATACAGATACACTAGCACACACATACATATACTGATACACTGACACAGATACAGACACCACATACTGACATCCAAAACATATATATACATACCTTTTAATTGGCTTCTGCTGGTGGGAGTTGAGGGCTGTCTCCAATCCAGGTCTGCCTGCCCCCCTTCACGGCCCCACCCTGTGCGGCATGATGTGTTACAGCTGGGAGGAAGTGTACGTCTCACTCTCACTTCCTCCCAGCACTCCGGACAAGTGGGAAGGGGCCCGTTCATGCTATTAAAGTGCTGTAGCGCATGACCAGGCTCCTCATAGCACATGTCCATCAGGTGGCCCTAAGTGTATGGGCAACCCGATGGACCCGCTCACCTTGCGGTACCCAGCCCGTGCGCTTGCATCACTATCATTACTGTTTTTTTTCTGCATACCCACTGGGGCATTGAATTGTACCCCTTGCGGTACACGTACCACGGGTTGAGAACCCCTGTCCTAGATGAATGGCTTGACTGGGCTAAGAGCTTCATCTGCCCAGGTTTGGCCCATTTGAGGCCAGCATGCAGGAGTCACCCTGTATGACTATTGTTCACTAGTTTGCCAGTTAAGAACTGTCTGACTTGGCTCTTTACTTCACTAAAGCACTCAAGCCCCTCTGCCTCATAAAGGCTTGTGTCCCTTGAAGGGTTGCCCCTTACTAAACAGACATCACAAGAAATAGTTTCTGACAAACTCTCGCGACACAAAAACAAAAGGAGTGACCATCGTATGCCCTCCTCTTGCCCACTCGCAGACATAACCACGTATTTGGATCCCTAAGGCAGGTTTATTATGCTGTCAAGCAGGGTTGGTACTGTTTCTTTTCCCATTTGCTCACTATATGCACCCTGTGTGCCAGATCCTTCCTACTGGCAAACATTCACAGCTGACCTATTCTAATCTTATGCTACACACATAATCATTGGAGGGGTCTGCTCCCCAACAGTAGACAGGAGCGCACAGTGGACAAAAAGATCACATCTTGTAGAAACAATGTGTCATTATTACAATTTCTTGCCTCAAACAAACATCCCTCTACTACAGACTTCACCTTTGTCTCACCCCACCATTTGTATTCCAGGATATATCATTTCCTCTTTCCAGTAGAACACAACTTTGACAGATGACCGGAACCCCATATAAGGAAACTCCATCAGACTAATTCAAGACAGATGGGGAGGACCACACAGATTGGCTGAAGGTGGTCCGTTATCTGGTAGAAAGAACTTTAAAACCAGTATTTGATGATATTTGTGATTACAGTACTAAAGAAATTGGATATTTATTTTTATTTCCCATGAGGAAGTCCGAGATATCGAACGAAATGCGTAGGGCCATTTATATTTATATAGATTTTATATTCACTTTTTCATTTATTTGAGCAGTGCTCCACACCACTTCCTAAAGCCTCCATGCCCCCTGTCCTTCTATGGGGATCAATATTAGCATATTAGCATAAGCCAGATTAATATTTCCGGAATGTCCCTACTCATAATGCTGGCCCCACCTCAGCCCCCACCTGTGCCCTACAAGTGGGGGCTATTTTTTTTTATTCTTTATTTTTTGAGTGCATAAAGAAAAAGAAGTTACATATGCGTTTGTCATGCCCCAAGAGCATGTACTCACTATATAACAATGAACAAAGATTCAGTAAGGCATGACATGGGAACACAATGCACATTTTTTATGTTTGATGACATGAAGATTAGTTTTCATTATAAGTAGTTATGAGAGGAGGTACGAACATGCAAGCAACAACATACTGTGATAGTTGAGTAGCATTACATAGAAACAGGCTGAATTACAGGTCTTACCGTAAGAGGCGAGACACAATCAAAACATGCGCCCAACTAAACTTGTTAGAAGAAAAAACGGAAAATAAATAAAAATCAGTGATATAGCATTCAGATTATTTGGATTAACTGCACCCGTTATTATATAGCATTTAGAACCAAAACATCTATTCTTTTAGTATTACTCTAGGCATGAAAAGCGTGGCACACTGGTAGACATTATAAGCGATAGGTCACAGCTATGCTTGAAATTTTCTGTCAGGGGTTAGGGTGAGCGCTTAATTAACCTGTCGCGTTATCTACTGAAATAAAAGTATTAACCCAGGCTAAAACACAGCGCTAGAACATTCCACAGGTGTCTAATTAGTGTACGGTAAATCACAAGGCCAGACTGCAGACTATGCTTGTATAAGCAGAATTTCGGGACTCTTAACATCTCCTCTGTGGTAGGTTGTAGCCTATGTTTGGTTTAGAGCTATTTGCGGCTTATCGATCGTTGATTTAGCAGGTTTAATGCTTATTCTTGCAGGAGCCCCAAGCAAACACGTCTGGCCTACTTGAGAGTCAGGCCCCGCCCCCCGGGGGCTATTCAACTACACAGGGGCCTAGGTGGGTGGGGGCCCTAAGTGACAAAAGGGGGGACCTACACCACCATGAGCGCATGTGTGAGACACGGCCGGCACACAGTAATGCGCATGCGTACGTAGCCGGGAAGAATGAAAACAAGCCTCTAGACTTAACGAGCACTCTCCACAATTGAGGATATTAAGAGCATGGGCACAGATAAATAACAGCATAAGAGGTCTGCCGCAGTGGCAGAAAAAGGAACATAGGGGGAAAGTTAAATAAAACCTGAAATAAAAAAAAATAAAGTAATAAAAAATAAAATAAAAAAAATAATAATAAATATAAAAAAAAGGGATTTGAGACCAATGTTTATAGGAAACCTCTTGACAGAAACATTTTGACAGTTACCATCCTTCTTCTGTATTTAAAGATTTACCGAAAAGCCAACTAATGAGGCTCAAAAGGTTTCTGTCGGACACTAGCAAAGTTGATATTCAATTAAACAAGATGGGGTTACCCTAGGGCTCTCCTGACGGAACAGCTGGATCAAGTTAAAAATAAGAGCAAAGGTGAGTGTTTACGTCCAAGACAGAAAGATGACAAAGACCGTAGAATAAAATTTATTTCTAGATTTGGGAGAACATCGGCCACTCTCAATAAAATTATCTTTAAATACTGGTACATCCTATCTAACTACCACCCTGACATCCCTATGATTGCTTACAAAAGATGCCCGTCCTTGAAAGACAAATTAGTGAGAGCTAATTACCACTAACTAAACCCGAAATGACCAGAAAGGGTAACTTCCCATGCTATGGCTGTGTAGCATGTCATTCTATGATACAAGGCCAATGGCTTTACCATCCATATAGTGGTAAGAAATACCTTTGAAAACATTTTGTGACGTGCAATTCCTACTGTGTAGTTTACATTCTCAAATGTCCATGTGTTTTTTTGTATGTGGGAGACCTCACAAAAAACGAAAGAGAGGTTTTCCAAACATAAATCCATGATACGTTATCATAGTGAGCCATTACCCTCTAGGAAAGATTGGTACATGACAATTGAATACTTCCATAGGATGGAGGAACTCAGATGGGGGTCCCTAGACAAATACTACAGATACACAGTGTGACGGTAGTCACCATCACTGGGGATGGAAGACAGACACTATGGGTGGGCTCCCAAATTCCTTTTGTGTTTTGTCACATTGTGCCTATTATTTGTGCAGGGTATGTTGAATGTATTGCTGGTCTGTGCATCTCCCCCTCCCCCCTTTTTCCTGTCCTATTGTTTCCCCAGCAGGGCGTTGTCCCAGGGACACTGCCAGACCAGTTTAATCTAGCTGCTCTGTCCCTCCTCAATCTCCCATCAGCCCTTGCTATTGTCTCCTTTCCTTACTATAGTAATCTATGTAACCTATTGTATGTAAATGAGGCTGTTGGGGGCTTAAACTATGTGTGCTGTATTCATTAAAGAGTTGCTGTTTAACCTTCACCATGTGTCGTCTGGTGTTTGGTCCAGGGTGGAAAAGGCCCTAAGTGATCCCAGTCAAGCCTCAGCGTCTGGGTCTGAAGTGTTTCAGGGTCCCTGATAGCTACAAGGAAGCAGACTTGGCGGAGGTACTCGTTCGGAGTACTGGAGCTCTGTTACACACAGACATATGGCAACCCTGAAAAAACTTCATGAAAGGGACGCAAGATCCTCTTGGGGCTCAGGAACATTGACAGGGACCGAGGGCCCCCGATGAGTCCCCATACCCCACCTGATAGAGATACATGCCTGATGGGCTGACGCTACTAGTTGACTGTACGCCACAGGACTGGGGCACGGGTGAAAGACTGAGTGTGAAGTTATAACTTTGGTCAATTATTGGTTATTTTAACTGTTTAAGAATTTAAGTTATGTTCCTTTAACATGTCACGGTCACAATGTCACACAGGACACGCAATACACCAGGGTTGAGACTCCACATTGCACTAACTATCATAGAGATTTCAGGCAGGGGTTGAGTAGCACAGCACACTCAAAGACAAAGTATGAATAACATACTTTCTGTAATGGGGGGTGCGCTGCGCTCTAATATTCACGACACAAGTAATCCTGAGCCCTGTAGTTAGGTAGAAGCAAAGACCTACACAACAAGATGTGATGTTTAGTACTATGAGTTAGGCCTTGACACCATTGTTACTGGAAATGTGAAAAAATGTGTATTAATGTGTATTAATATGAAGTTATGTATTATCACGCTTATCAGGGGCGGGCTGGGCCAGGGGGCAGGGAGGCAATTGCCCCCCAGGCCGCCCTAAATTCCTGTAAGGCCGGCCGCGGCGGGCCGGCCCTTTAAATACTGCAGCCGCCTGAGCGCTCTGTTAAGAGCCTCAGGCGGCTGCAGCTTCTCCCCTGTAGCGTGGCCGAGCTGCACTCCGGTCCGCGGTGGCCGGCCGGAGTGATAGGAAGGTGCACACTGAGTGTGCACCTTCCCGAGTGTGCACCTTCCTGTCAGTCCGACCGGGTACAGGAAACAGAAACTCCTGTTCCG